ACCTCCTTACCAAGGCCCTTAGCAGGGTCAGTCTGCAGTACCACCGGCGCAAGCTGATGAATTTGCCGGAGTAGATGTAGCAGTTTTTAGCACTTGCCTTGGATTTTTCGGCGAGTGCGCCCGTTGTAAGCCGCTGTGATAGCGACGGTTTTTTGTGGTGGAAGGGTTTTCCCTTGAGGGGTTTTGCCCGGACGCCGAATTTCCCCTCCATATGTTACCATGTTGGTATTTTCTGATGTATCCTGGGGCGTTCTTGCCCAATTGATGGTTAGTCACTTGCGTGAAGAACCAGGGAGGGTGTTCGTGAGTCTGCGAACATTGCTGTTGGATACATGTGCTGGATGATTTTGTGTCACGCAGACTGGTAAGATAACCGTTTGATAGGGGGCACCGCGATGATTCACGGGGCCCCTNAACCCCGGTCGCGACCCGTCTTACGGCCCTTTGGACGTTTGATCGGCGTGCCCCTTCTTCACTCCTTCCTGGACCCCTCAGGGAGGTCCGCGACAAGATGTATGCGATACGACTTGCCCTTGTTGTCTAGGCCCGTGCGGACAACACTCCCGTCTCCCAGAAGCGATGCTACTTCTCCCTGAAGTAACGCCATGTCTCATCGCTGAACGTGGACGACATGACCTTGCGTGGTACACTTTTTGTTTGTGCAACCTGGGGCTTGTTGTCCGCAAAAATTTGAAAATTAGGTTCTGAAATTGTTCGGGACATTGCTCACCGGTTCGGGGAATGGTTCCACCGCAAAAAAAAAGGCGTGGGCGAGAGCTCTCGATAGCTGCAAAAATTTGCGCGGGGTTCGGCGTGGTTGCTGAGATATGTGGGTTTTAGTGGCGTCAAGTATACTTCACAGCGATGGTAACAGGGCCATAACTTTTCTCGCAGCGCGAACCCCGCGAAAAAATATGGCTCATTCGAATTTGGCGAGAGCTTTATAGTGGTGCTTTTTTTTTTTAATTCGATAGAACTGTTATTCGAAAAAACCGCGTGTGAAATCCGCTCCAACCTTCAAATTCGCGTCTTGGTCAGAACAGCTTGTACAAGCAAGGGCACATGTATTTGCGTACTGCTGTATCATACCTAGAAATAGCACTTTGCACTCTGGAGGATTCAACGCTGCCCGCGGTGAAGTGCTGTTGTTGGTCACGAAACTTGTAGACAAGAGGAAACCACACCCATTTTTTCAAAACAATGCGAGCGTTCGTTGCGAACTCTGAAAATCTGGCAATGTTTGAACTCGAAAGCCGTTGAGTTGGCTCGCAGCGCCCTGAAGAACAGCTGTGAGACTGCGTTGACAGAGTGGCAGACCGGTTGCTTCAGCGGCAGCAGCGTCACCAGGAGGAGGAGGAGGAGCGCAGACGTGGAGTTTAGCGGATCCATTCATTGCAGCTTTGCAGGGTACTCTTCCTTTCTTCCCCTCGCTGCCTCGGCAAGGTTTTTTGCGTAGTAGGCATGACCCATAGCGAGGGGGGGTCCTTTCTAGCGAGCGGGGCCAGACTCACCCTCAGGGGACCGATACCTTCTTGCTGCGGCGCACCCGCCGCGAGGCGTGGGTAGTGGTGGAGTTGGGTCGGCACTGGTGCGTCAGGTACAAAGGTGCAGATGCGCGGGCCTCCAGGCCGTTGGTGTAGGCAGCAATGCCCATCTCATCTTTGTGCACGGAGGCAGACGTCATCAGAAAGGTGGACGGGCACTATGTACACGGCCCTAGGTTTGTTAGAGGGAGCTGTACTGTCTCAGTAACCTGGTTTTGCCATCAAAGGAGAAGGGGACAGGTGGTGACGAGCTGATTGGGCTGGTTGACCCTCGGCGCGAGAATCTTCAGACCGAGAACCCCAAGTGCGACGAGGGAGAAAGCGAGGAACCGACTGGGAAGGACAGCAACGAGAGCGTGTACGAAGCGGAGCGGGTCGAGTTTGGTCGTGCTAGGGTTAGCCACAGCGGCACCGGAGCAGCGGCACCGGAGCAGCGGAACCGGAGCAGGCGGACGGCATCGAACCGTGGCGCACGGACAAACATCTCTTGTATTGTCAATTATTTTTCCGTTTTTTTCCTGAATACAGGTGTTGTTGGGTGTGTGTGATGACGTCACTGTTTTTTTTGTAGAGAGACGCAGCAGAGATGGCGCGGATAACCCGGGTGACTTAATTGTGTACCTGCATCGTGGAAGGCCCCTTCAATGTGGAACGATTCCTAGTCAGTGTCGATGTTTACACTGCTGTGCCTAACACAGATGATCTGGATAGACTCGGGTGATTGTCAACTGCAATGATGGCTTTGGTTGGGCGTTCTTCTTCATTGTTTGTCCACGGGCTCATTCTGACAGCACTTCAGACAGCAGCTCCATGCCCCGAGCTTGTGTACCATGCGCCATGGTGTGATTATTGTACAGACAGCACTTCAGACAGCAGTACGCTGTAGTCGACAAACATTCATTTTGGTTAAATGCGGGACAAGGGGGGTGATGCTGCTGCTGTAGTCGATTTGTAGTGTGTGGGCGTGTAGTTCAGTTGGCAGCACGCAAACGTGCTGCAGGGATTGCAAGTGTACCTCCTCGGGCTTGCGTACCCTTTCCTTGCTAATAGTGTGTGTGTTCTTCAGATCTTCTGATGGCTCTAGCATTTTTGTGACCACGGACCGAGTCTTTGCTAGATTTTGGGATTAGCAACTGACACGAGTTTATTGTGAAGAAAAACAACAACAACAACAAGGGCGGCAGAAGGACCTGGTCTGGGTTGACAATGAATGAGCCGGAGGCGAGAGGTGAGATGTCTTTCTCTGAAGAAGTAGTAACAGCAATTCGCACGTCACATGTACCCGAACATGGTACATCATTGCCCAACTGTATCGCTGGACACATTAACTTTAAGTGCCTCTTGTTGTTACAGTGCAGTACTCGAGCGGTACCACCGCTGCATGCAAAATATTCAAATGTTGACGCCTTTATAATATTTTTTTGCTGTTTGCTGCTCCGGAACATGGAGCTCTCCGCGCCCCCAGCATATGCGTGCAAGCTCACACTACTTTTGATTTGAGGGTATCCGATAACGCACATGCTGCCGGTCGCCCCGGTGGTTAGTGGGTACCCTGGAAGCCCACCAAGGGCCGGGTCATGGGTTTGAGTGCCTGCAACTTAAGGTTTTTTCTCACTAAGGAAATCCTGCTCTAAGTTCGAAGCGGTGTGTTGCAAAGCTCGTTGTTAGTAAGCTTGTTCGACTTCACTACAAATAGTCGCGATAACAATATCTCAGGCAGGGACCGCAGGAGGGGGCCCGGCCACCCTCTCCTATGTTGCCCCGGTAGGGCCGTGTAGCTAGTAGGAGTGGAGGACGGGGGCCAGAGGGGCAGACGACAAAGTCCAAAAATGAGAGAAAAAAAAAAAAACTGCACTATTTGTTGAAGAAGTGGTTATAAGTCTAACATCACCAATACCCTTTTTACATCTTCAAAATATTTTGGTGAAGTCGAAGTAGGTGCTGTGTGAGCCACCCCTCGCTGTGGACACTTCGCTCCACCTTCCCCATACGTGTTGCACACAGACGGAGGTTTGACTGGAGGATCCAGAGGGCGGAAACTTACCTCTCTTCAATGAGCAACATGGGGGCATCGGTTGCGCTGTTTGTCATGGGAACCCGAAGGCCGTGCCAAGGGCATCCGGCAGCGCGTGCAAGAGCTGGAGGCTGAGGCTTGGCAATTTGGCTAGAGAGAACCATTGAGCGAGCGAAGGAACAGAACGGAACGAAGCGGGCGATTCGAACGTGGCAAACTTTCGTCACTGCTGCGACCTTCGGCAGCGACAAGGAGGAGGCCTCAACGATGTCGGCCAAACGGAGGCCGCCACGATCGGAGTTCGGGAACTGGGAGCACAGTTTCAATCACGTTGTGGACCGCGCCAAGCGCTCGACAACCGACCTCCGTCCAGTCGTGGCGATGAAACGCGGGGTCTACTGGTTCTGGCTCCGGGGTAAGAGGAGAGGCATGCCGACATGGTACCAAGTTTTGGGACCTGCCTTGGCCTCCTCGCGAATCAGATCGGATCCCGTAGGTGTACCGGGGTGCAAATGGGCTAACAGACCGAGGTACCATGGCATCTGCTGCTCTTGACGTGCGAAGTAGCTGATGATCTTCATAAATGCATACTGGGAAGCACTTTGTCCAATCTCCTGACATCACTTCGAGTGGTCAAACAGCACTTCCTGGTATATTTCGTTCAACCACAACGAAAAGATAACTTACGATGGTACACTATCTTAACCGATTGGCTAATCGTTTATCTCCCTGGGGATCTGACGACATGCTCGTTAAAAGTACTCCGACTGAAACGTGACACCATGACCGTGGACAACGTTGGCCGCAACCCAAGGGTTTTGGCCAGCGAACTCGGGCTCCCCGACCAGAGCATCTTTTTACCAGTCAAAAGACTGCGTGCCACTCCTAAATGTGGTTTCTCTCGTACGACACGACGACGAAAAGCGAGTGTGGATCAACTTCATATTATCATGCAGTTGTGTGCAGAAAGCTCCGAACAGCCCAGGCAGGTCTCTTACTACGCAAGCCTTCGTCGCAGTACAGTAGCGTCGCGGTCAAGAGGGTTTGGAGAGAGTACCGCATCATCAGTCGTGCGAGCGATAGCACAGGGGGGTGAAAAGAAGCAAGATTGACATGATTTATTTGGGTTTTCGCACAGAGGGTCGGAGTTATCGCCGCACACGCACAGTTTTGTATACGATAACCACAACTAAATCCCACTATCCGGCGTGGGGTTGGGTTCTATCGCAAGTGAAGTAATGGACCTCTCGCGGTGTCAATCGGGGCTCCACTGCTGAATGTGCATGCAGTGTGGCCCGTGGAAACGAGGAAGTTCATCATTGCAATCGGGAAAAAACAGGGACCACTCAACCAGGCACAAACTGGTACCTACCTAACCTACGCTCCAGCCACGAGACACGGAAGCTGGAAGGCAAACAGATCATGTTCAACGAGCAACATCGTATCCGACTCTTCTTGCACACTGCTGCAATCCAACTCGCCTTCTACCTTTCCTGTGTCATTGAAGAAACGGACCTTCTGCTACCTTCTCTTCTTCCTGATCCCCCACTACTGATCTGATACCTACTCCCCCATGCTTGATAGGTTGACATCTTCTGCGCTGTGGTTTCGTTCAGTATCGAAGATGTCGGAGACACGCTCCAGGGCGCGCATTACATACATCAAGTGTCGCCGTCGGTATTTACTTACTCTGTATCTCACATGTCGGAGTCATCGCAACAGCGTGTGCCGTAAAAAACAGTTGAAACGACGTAAAATCGTTCGCACACGTGAGCGTTTGCTCGCGCAATTCCAGTACCCGGAAGTATACCGCTATGACAACGACGACATCACCAGCCCGTCAGGTCTGAGTCAGGTACAGATACCATAACAGCCGTCCCCCATGATTTCCACGACGACAGGGAAGTAACAACCCATGCTACGCACAATGTTGTTGACACTCCACCGGCCGCGAACGACAGCAACACCCCTGCCGACGGAGGTGGAGAGACGAGCAAGCACATTGTTCCAAGACATGAATAACCATGTATAGTATGTTGCCCTCCTTCATACGCCACGCGTGAAGCGAACGTCACGTACATTGTATGTCTAGGCCCGTCACAGCTTACCTCCTGCCACTGCTGTGAATGGATCTCTTTTGGTCTTTCGGGCGGCCGAGAAATACACCAGGCAGGTTGCATGAGCAAGACCCAGGGCACTTACTTGTATGCTACCATACAGAGTACTTTGCAGCAGGAAATAGTATCCTGCACGCTTCCATGTCATGACTGCCAGACTATTGAGTGCTCACATTTTCTTGCCTCTGTCGGAATATCTCGCAGTTTATCTCTGAAGAAGAAGCAGCTGACCTGTTTAAAGCATGCACGAAAAAGGTAACCTTTGGCCACAAAATGCAACTGTTCAGTTGTTGGTTTGTGTTTCATGTTTTTTTGGTTTAATCACAAATCAGCGCTCACAACAAATCTACCGGGAAAGAGCTCCAATCCGTGGCCACACTGAAAGGTTCCTCTCCCTGAGGCCCTCAACCAACCCCTCCTGCGGTGCTTGCATTCGATTGCGAGAAGAGTGCCGCACTCTCTCTCCTCAAAATTATGTAGCGCTTCCCGCAACCAGCAGCGGAAGCGAGAGAAAAACTCACTTTGCAAGAAAAAGCTCGCTTACGTCGGGATTCGAACCCATGACGTGGCCACACACCGGAGTACAGTAGCGTGTGTTTCTATATTATTAGCATCGACCGCGCTGACCGGCTGACCAATGAAAAGACGTCCGTCTCAGTGCGGTTGAAAACACAAAACACTTCAACATGCCATGAACTAGGACCCCCTGAGGGGGCATGGCGGAGGCTAAGCTTTTCTCCGTAGCTTGTGTGTGCTTGTCCCATCTATTCTGGCGCCGCCGGTCAACAGGTGGTCCCGATATCCTCCGCTTAGTACCTTCTAATGTCCGTACTGGTCCAACTGACGCGGATGCCTTCCGTGGTCACCAGCCAACTGTCCCCAAAGGGGGGTACACACGTGAAAATTAAAAAACGGACCCCAGAGAAGTCCTCCAAGGCGCGATTTGATTGTTACCCAAAAAAAAAAGACAAAAAAGAGGAAAGAAAAGGCCCGTTCCAAACGGAACCCAATTTCCCGGAAAATTTCCCCGAACGGTCCTTGCGTGCAAATTTCCCGGAAAAAAATTTGGTTCTGGAACCGGATCGGGGAAAGGAGCAAAGAGCAAGGGCAAAAAAAAACTGCGTGCTCCTTTCACCGATCCGTTTTTTGTACAGAAGGATTGGGCAGGCGTACCGCGAGCGCTGCAACATCACTGAGAACGCTAGCAAAGCCTGCTACACTCACGTCCAGGCCTATGGCGGACATAATCCAGCGGCAGAAGCCGGGTTCAGTCCGTTCTTGGTCCAAACCGAGACATTGCATGGCCCTCTCGTCTTCAACTGGTGCTGTTGATGTTCGGGGTTTTTCTCAATCACACATGACAAACGCGGAAACAGTAGAACGAACACAGCAGCAGCGCCAAGGCCTCCAACGCGCTTATTCCTCCGGCTCGGCTGTCTATGTGATACTCACTCCCGGCGCCGTGTTGCTTAGTGGGTATTGGGGGCTCAGGTGCTGCTCAAGAAGTTGTGAGAGATTTGTGCCATCCTGCGAATATGCGGTGCGATGGCCTGTTTTTGGTCGGAGACAGCAACACGAATCCACGGCACAACTCCGCAGTAGAGCAACAGGGCCCCCGACACGCTAATTCTTTCGGATTGGTCCTGTATATGATGCTGGCCCTCAGCGCCGCTGCCGCCCTATGATTGTTGCGCTCGCCTACCTTTGGATAGGTGGTGGTCAAAGAAGGGGGTCGCAACGGTGAAAAACGAGCTGGAAAACTGAATAAATCGCAAGCAATACCCAGGTTGCGACACTCTGCCCTATACCTGTTGCTGAAAACAGCAGACCGGGTGGACGGGGTCTTATTAAGTGTGCTGTCCTATTTGTCATGTGCTGCTCCTTGCGCTTTTACCGCTGCTCTATGTTGAACAAAAGCAAGAACCCAAGTCAACCTGTTGTGTGGTCGAGCGAACCGTATACTCAGCAAAGAAATCGATTTTTTACGATGACATCACGATCAGAACAAGCGGGAAACGGGTCCGTATTCTTTCCACCGTTCCGTGTTTTCAAATGGAGAAATTGGGTTCCGTTTGGAACGGGCCTAACCGGGATACAGACGATCGACCCCGGTCAAAAGGGATGAATGAAGGAAAGACCCTGTGAAAGAAAGAAAAAGATCAAGACAAAGAAAACAAAAAATGAAGATAGACAGGTCCCCTACAACGCTCCAGTCCACCGGAACAACAACGAAATAGATAGGCCACTGTACCTCTGTATAACTGATCGGCTGTACACTCACTGAAAAGACTCTTAAGGGTAGCCGGACAACCTCCTGCTATGTTGCCTAATTTCGAAAACAAACGCAAGAGCGCCAGAAAATGCACTAGAGACACATAAGACCAGTCGGAAGGCATCGCAAAAAAAACAAGTCCAAAATTCTGGCACAGGGCAGCAGTAGAGACCGCTCAAAACGTGCCTTTCGCGCGTCTACCTCCACACGCATCCTTTGAAACCAAGATAAAAATCCACACCAGCCTAAATTCAAGTCAAAAGAGCCCAAACGGAAGGCGCTCAAATAAGGCCGGTGTTGCTAGGAACCTGGTCCATTGTACCAATATCACTAGAGGACACCCTATAGCAGCGGGGGGGTGTGTTGGCGCGCTCAAAACTTCTTCTGTGGTGGTGGTATCGAGTGTCGTTGTAGTGGCCCACAATCTCCGCAAATCTCCGCAAGTTAGATCGACACCCAGTGTCTTGTACTGCTTGTGCTCGCCGCCACTGAACCCAATCTTCTGAACTGCAGGTTTACAGCAGTAGCTGATGCCACCAGCTACTGCTGACAACCCGCAGTTGAGGGGTTTGCGGTCCGTGGTGGTGAGCACCGCTGTAACAAGTGTTGGGTTCCGCTTGGTTCCGGCGCAGACTTCGGACCGTTTTCAGAGGCTGCTGCGACCTTCGATATTTCAGCCCCAGTAGTATACCAGAACGTGCCAGCACGCACGACGCCTCTTGATGATATCCTCTACTGATACTAGCACAACGGACCAGGTTCCTCCGGCGGGAAGGTTGTTTTCTTTCTTTGTACTGTTATAAAGTATGAGAAAAGAGCCAGCGTCAAAATCCCTTGTCTGGGTACCCCTAACACATCTCGTTCGACTCTGTGGGTATCTCGGTATTTGTGTGTGTAATTATTTTTCCGAACAATTTCACTGCTGTAGTGACATTATTGCCACTATACTTCAATTGTTATACATTGTATCGAATATTGGCACTGCCTGCCCTGGATGGCATATTTTGCCCTTCTCTCGTAGTACATGTCATCTGGCAGATATGTACGACCGCTGCTTAGATTGTATAATACTGCTGTAGCTCGCTGAACTCACGATCCAAAGGAGGGGCAGACCTGCGCATCCGTACAGAAACCATCTCCTTGCAAGCGTGATTGACTCCTCGCCGCCAGCTAGCGGTGATCGAATCATGGGGTACAGACAATGTACACGCGGCGCGGAGCACGGGACCGTGCGTGCATGAGAGAGTGTCGTAGTTGGTGTGGCACCGATCGCAGCTGGGCCAAGGCACCTGTGGGCTCGGTGTAATCCTTAGCTGCCCCCCCGTGAAACGCGAGGAGGCGTTCAGGTTCTCTCGCACCAAGAGGCTCAGGTACAGCAGTAGGCGGTGCAATGACCTACGCCTAGCAACTTAGCGAGGTGCAGAGACGCAACACGTAAGGGAGTGAGTGGGGGTGTGAACGAAGGCAAGATGGAAGGCCAGGAGCGTGTCATCAAGCCGAAGCCTAAACTGACTAAAGCTGAACGAAGAGAAATTCAGGAGAGGCAGAGAGCCGCGAAAGCCTCAACTAGAACAGGGGAAAAAGCCGCTGGAGCCCCAGGCTTGTCTGGCGGGAAACATGGACAGGCAAGCTCGTTGTCGCCATCACTGCCAGGCTCGGGACATGCATCTGCCGGACAGGTTCGTGCATCGGTCCCACGCATGGGTACCGAGGACAGAGTGTTGCAGGTTTTTGCCTCTTCTTGTTTACCGGACTGTCAAATCTGCGGCTACTTGCTGCCACGCACTCCACGCTTCCATACAGCAGTACTTCTGTCATGGCATACAAAGAGCCGCATAAACCTTGATGCTGTAATGCATGACCTTCCTTTCCTTCGTAAGGTGTATTATCGCATATGTATCATCGATTCATTTTTCTCCGGGGTAAGGAGATGGCACAACATTTACATGTTTTTGCTGCTATGCCGACAATTTTCTCAGCTTTCAGCGGCTTCAATTCCACAGGCACCGTTCTCGGCAGCTTCATGCGTGTGGTGTGTATCAACCGGTGTGTGCTTGTAAAAATCGCTCTAGGGCTGAGGTCGTTATGCCCCTCTTGGGGCAAAGAACGGTGTGGTATGAGAAAGGTTTGAGCAACAACCATAGCTTTTGTCTGCCTCCCTCGCTCACCATCAAAACAACAAAACAAAAAGTACGTGTCACACACACAGCAGTGCAACAGAGCACAGCAGCAGCAGCGGACTTCTTGTGATGGTACAAAATAACGCCCTATTGTTTGGCTTGGGTCACCCGCAAAGAGAGAGATTGAGAGATTCTTCCACGTATGGTTTCTGGGTTCCCGTAGGATTGCGAGCCATCGCACCTCCGTGTGGTCGTTTATTAACATTTTCGCCATGTCATATTTTCGTCGCACAACGGTTCGGTGTCTCCGGACTGTGCGATGACTCCGGACCCTGTGCGGAGATCGAGTTAAATCGTTTTACTAGTTTATTTTTATCGCATAGGAATGCGAGAACTCCGGACTGTGCAATGACTCTGAACCGCACGATGGCTCGTAATGTTCCGGTATCTTTTTGATGTGGACTGGAATGGAACCCACTTCCCTCTGAGGGAACACTTTATACATCCCTAAGATACGGCACCTCTGCCGCATGTCATGTACGCTTGGGCAGAAACGAGCGGGGGGGCAGCAAGGTGCACTGGCGAACAACGTCCACATGTTTTCGCATCTGGAGCAAAATCGAGGAGTGCTACCATTGACGTCGAAGGTACGGATATTATGAAGGAGTTGATACGCTCTGCAGCCTCAACAGTCGTCACCAGGCCGAACCAAGGACTTCGTTGTCAGCAATGATGTCGACGATAGTGGAAAAGAGACACGAAGATAGCTCGCCGCACCGTTGGGACCTGTTGACTGCCCGAAAGTACGCGAACAGAAATGCTGCTGGAGCAAGTTTTCGCCGAAAAGATGCCTGTTGGTAGCAGTCTATAGACCTTCATGTGCAAAACGTGACGTGCTTGGTTGCCAGGGAGACATCCACCCTGCGATCTTGGCTCTAGGACGCAAGTATTCGAGCGGTGAGGTGACTGGAGCAACCGCAAGGGCAGTGGCGATGCTGATGGCGTTCAAGCAGGTCGTCATGGATTACTCCACACCTCCGGACAAGGTGTAATCTTGGTGCAAAGCAGGGAATATAAACGTTCTCGCACCGTCGCTGTCGACTTTTGCGGCACCTTCGAAAACTCGTCACGCTGTGATGCGCCTCCGGGTTCTGTCAGTCTCCGGCATGTCTGGTTGGGCCACAATTTCACTGATGGGCTTGCGTTCCGCCGATTCAATAGCGGCTTGAAAGTTTCCTGCTTCGTTCCACCCGCAAGCATGCCTCTGTGTGGTGTGGTTGGCATTCGCTGTTCATACGATGGGCTAGCCTAGAAGGCCACGCTGCAGTCAGCGGCTGACCGAGTAGTGGGTTATTCCATACATGCCATCGATCCACCACCCGCCCGCTCAGATGTTTGGTTGACCTCTGCTGCATGCTTTCAACTGCCGTCGATGATCCACCCACAGATGCTGAGCTGGGATCTGGATAAGAGGCTACGTCCGATGATGCAATACCTGATAGATTGCCGACCCCACTCAGTGAGCATGGGCAATGCCCATAAGGTGCGGGAAGTGCTTGCACTTATTTTGCGTATGGTTGGCGTTGTACTTCCAAAACATCGAAATGAAGATTATCACGGAATATTTTGAGCACGGGCGCAACCTACAATGTACGGGAAGCTCTGAACACGGCTGCGTGCCATGGGTTCTGGTGCTAAAACACCAAAGCTCTAGCCGCCAGTTTGTTGAAAGTAGCAAGAGTGGTGTTTTCTCGTGATGCGCGGAAACAGCTTACGAGACTCCCACTGTTGTATCCGTGGGCGTATTGCTCGCACTCTCGTTGTCGGGCTCAATAGATGCGGATGGCCTCGATGACCCTTTCGAACTTCGTGCCCTTCCTACGTATTCTGGAAAGTCGGCGTTGGGGCAAAGCTTCATGTTTTGTAGTGGGATGCAGTGCTGTGCAAGACAGTCAACGTCCTAACTGATGAACCTCTGACTAAAAACTTGTGCAAGGCGTTGAGGAATATCATCGCCAAGTCGCCCCCTTCTCTGCCGGAGGAAGAGGCCAAAGCGAGCATCGTTGATAAGATCAACGAGTTCATCAACACGCGGATTACCCTGGCGGCGAACGAGATCGCTAAGAACGCCATCACTAAGATCAGGGATGGTGACGTCATCCTGACATACGGAAGGTGTGTTGTCAGCTTGTTAGGCACAGCGTTAGGCCTCTTGCCGCAGAATACAGGTGAAGATGGTAGCACGGTGAAACGGAATGCAGCCTCAGCAGAGAAATTGCGGCACTTTTCACCACCATTACGTTCGTCTCCCTTCATTGGTGTTGCGGAGCAGGTCTTCTTTAGTCGAAAGCGTGTTGGTGGCTGCGCAGCAGGCTAAGCGAGGGTCTTTCAGGGTGATCATCGTGGACTCACGCCCTGAAGTGGAAGGTCGCCAGCTTTCCGAAACACTTTCCGCGGAGGGCATTCCCTGCACATACGTCCTGCTCACTGCAATATCTTACATCATGAGGGTAAGCACGGACAACCGTTCTCCTGCTTTGAACGTGCCTTTCTGATGTTCGTGGTTCTTGGGTAGTTCGTGCAGTCTTGGCGCGCAAGAGGAACGTGGGTGTAAAGACCGAAAACGCGGGGATCACACCTGTTGCACGATGGCAGAAACTCCATTTTTCTTTGCGACCGTCTCACACCATTTGTTGCATGATTTCGTGCAACTGGCAGGAGGTGACGAAGGTTTTCATCGGTGCTTCGGCAATGATGTCAAACGGCGCCGTCTTGTCCCGAGTGGGCACGGTGAGTAATTTTCGCTTCGAGAGGGACTATGCGCTGGAGATAAGATCATTTGGTCTAGGACCCCTTACCCCTTGTGTTTCCCGTCAGTAATGCATGCTCCCGCACCATGTCTCGCCCCGCCTTTCCTTTCCTCTGTCAATTGGCTCGCGGAATGATCTGTAGGCAGTCGTGGCGATGATGGCGCGGTCGCACAACCTCCCGATCATGTTCTGCTGCGAAACCTACAAGGTGCGACTTCTGATGTTGTGGCTGGCTTCATGATGCATGATGAAGCAGCCTAGTAACGACGAACTCTTTGTCACTAGCGTAGCCTTGTTGGACGGCTGGACTTCTTAAGCACGAGCAGGATGGTATTGACCAACATGGTAGTCTAAATCTAGCCGGAGAACTGACCACGGCCAGACTCTTTGCGCTGCCACATCCGTTGCCTATTTTGTCGATCATAATCTACCGGGAAAGTCCTGACATGATAGGGCCTATGGTACCAGAATTTGGAGAGTAGCAGCAGCCTAAGAAAGCCTTTTCTCCATGATCACGCTACTTTCAGTGCTGTCCGTCTTGCCCACCTTATCCCCATCCTTGTGTTTTTTCACCCAACTAGTTCTGCGAGCGCGTGCAACTTGATTCGATCGTTTACAACGAGCTGGGCCAGCCGGATGACCTGATTTCTGACGCCAGTGGTGGGGATGTGGACGAGTTCAAGGCTTTACCCAGGTAGACGAGGCACATGAGTGAATTCACCGACGTTACTGGTTGAACTGCGTATCTACGTGGTCATGTTCGAGGCATCGACTAACAGAAACGGTCACCCACAGACTAAGTAATTGAACACGCTCATCTTTCGGTTCATGATGGCTTGGTTTAGATCGTGGTCAAAATTGTCGCAGGTATAGACTACCAGGGCTTTAGTTCATTGAGAAGCACAGTACGAGGCGCCGATTTGGGACCCTTCATTTTCTCAACCATGAGGTCGACTAGGGTAATTCTAGCAAGAAACTATGTCTTAATCCAACACGGATCGGGTGCCAAGAATATGGTACTTGTTGGAATGTATCCGCGGCATGCCACTTTGGGCCGCTATCCCTTCGTTTCATCTTATGTCGCGTAACATCTACGCCCACCCTTGCTGCCCGTTTGTTGCTTGTGTCCTCAGCCTCAAACTATTGAATCTCCGCTACGACCTCACACCGATCAAGTATGTCACCCTCGTCATCACGGAGTTTGGCTTCTTACCTCCAACGTCTGTACCGGTACTCATTCGAGAGATGACACGAAGGGAGGATAAGGACGAAAAGTATTGACTTGAAGACTTGGCTAGACAAGTGGATTAGGTCTTGACACAAGCGACGCGCCATTTGATTTCGTGTGGACCACCAAATGTTGAATTATCGCTTCGGCGTTGGTTGTTGCCGATGGGATTTCCGTGCAAGCCCCTCAAGGACTGCTGTTAGATGGTGACTCCTTAAAACGGAGCTTCAGCGGTCGCAATGCCGCTATCTTGCCCTAATACATCGTCGTCTCCCTCGTCGTCGTCTGTCACAATCCAGTCGTCGCTGCCATCAATATCCGTCGAATCTCCGACATCTGGCTCATCTTCGGCAGCAAGCCGATTGTAGTCGTGAAACGCAAACCTGCGAAGGCACAAAGTGCAGATGCAGGGTTGCGTTGGGGGTGAGGCGAGTTCTTGGGTACCTCACCACGACTGTCAGTATGCTGTGATGTGTTTCAAGCACACATGCGCACCAAAATCCTCAGCACACAAATTCTATTGATGTTGAGAAACGTCCACTCCAGTCGATTTCATGGTCGGCAAGTATTGGCGCAAGTTGGCTCGTCACTGTTGTGGAACATTTCGCCGATAAGACGTTACACATACAGCAATTTTGAACAGCCTGCGTTTTCTGCATGCCGGAGAACGAGAGACTAGAACACCATGCATCCAAGGCATTGGTCTGACGGATTACTACAAGTCAGACGTGCAGAGGCTAGGGGAGCACTCCTGTACGTCGGGCAGCTTGAGCACTTTTGATGCGAAATTAGTTGCGAAAACGGACGACGAGACCGCCGTCACATAGCAGGACACAGCGAGTGACAAAAATATGTACTCCAAGTGGAGTAATTTGTATACAAGGAATAGCGCGTCCTAAATGTAGAGGTGCTCATAATGGCACTGAAAAACAACCACAAGCATCCAGACGACCTACCTATCCCAATCTGTCTCGAACGGGTCGTTCCTCCTTTGCCGCTCTGCAAAGGGGTCTCGTTGCTCGAAGCCAATGAATTTGTTCAAGTTGAACAAGGCATCGAAGAAGACGCCGCCCACCTTCAATGTCTCCGGCCTCAGAAAGTCCTGCGTAACCACCAAATGCGACGGCGCTCATATGAGTGTAGTTCGAATGGTACAATGGTTCCAAGTTTCAGATTCCGCTAGAGAGACAATGGGATTCTTCGATGGGGTTGCGATACTTGTCCAATGAATGTGGATCCATTTGCTTGCGCTAAAAATACCAAAAACCGCTGAGTTGAATAACAGCAGAAGTTGCCTTCATCGGGTGAGAGGCAATCGGAGGAACTTGAACGCATGCGCCGTGCGATTTTTTACCACACGAGGCGCGCCAGATGAAACAGCGTCAGTGCTCCCACCTGCAAGGTTACATAGTTGCGGTCGCCAAGCTTGAGCATGTCCCACATCTGACATACCACGTCTTCAAAGGGCACGACTTCGTGGCCCAGCGACTCCATCCGATGCACCTGCAGCCAGTTTCACGACAGCACTTGATCAAAAAAAGACGTGGCTCACTCCACACGAAGGTATTGATGGCCCATGCATCTACATGAGTGACTAGGCAACATGATGCCATTGCGGAGGCTCGCTCACCGAGCCAAGTGCACGGGATAAGATCCCTCATTCCGCTGAAAGCAGCAAACGTTGCAAAACAGGCAATCGTTTGGCGCTACATGCACACATGAGTGCCTACGAAGCGCAAAAGGTCTCAGGTTTCTGTTCATCTTTCCAACCTTCGGTCACGTGCCTGATTGTCATAAAACAAACGCATCTCCATGTGGCCGATACGCCCATCCCCGTCCAGGTCCACGCACGTGAACCAATATCGCAGACTGTGTTCATTCCCTCGATCTTCTTCACTGAGCATGAAGTACACATAGTCTTCGTAGGTCATTGTAGCTCGGGGATCTGATCCGTCCTCGTTTCTTCGCCCCTGAGGAAATGGCCGTGGGCCAACCGCCATGATCCTGTTCGGCAAAAGACAGCACGAAATGTGGTAGACTGTATGCTTCCAGTGCCGATGAAAGCAAAAGCCCACACACACTTTCACCGTACGTACAGCATGTACCGCCAGCAAGTTGGCATCTCCTAAATCCTCCAAACCATGGTCACAACTCAATTCGCACTAAAGTACACGTGGCACGAATCAAAAAGAGAAATCAATTTGCCTTGAGAGTGTACGAGTTGGAACAAATGGGTAGGCGATGACGGTCATTCTTCGGCAGCCCCGCTGCATAGTTTGATACGCGAAACGTGCGTTCACCTGTCCACGATGAGGCGGCTTAGGCCATGCTCGCCGTATTTGATGAGATCTTCTTCACTCAACCGCCCGTCTCGATCAGCGTCTAGCTCGTAGAAGCGACAGAACACAACGTAGAAGTGCTCGTACGAGAAGTACTCCGTCACCTTGGAAAACAAAAAGGTTGTCAACAACTCACGTACGTTTATCCGTCCGTCCCCTCTGGTAACTCAGAAAAACTATGTGAGGAACAGCGGTAACAACCGATTGCCTTCCGTAGTCCTGCAACACCACCCGCTTTGGTAGCACACATTCGGCGTGACATCAATGCTTGGAGTGGTCATGCTAGACATTTCCGCCAGCTACTGCTGGGGATACCTCAGCATTCGGAAACACCGCTTTCCGCTTACTTTGTTGATGTCCTCCTCTTCATCAACCGTGTTGAACACCTCCACCAAGTTGCTCCGTCGCAGTTCGCCTTGGCTGATGCGGCCACACCGACTGCGCACACGAAAAGAAAATACAAGGACTACTAAACAATCCTGGCCAGGTTACGCTTTGTACGGCATCATCTTGCGTCCCAGAGACATCGCCTGTTGCCTACAAGTGCCTGCAATGACTCACAACGATAAAGGCTTCTTTAGGTGCCAGTGCCAGGGTGCAAAGCACGGTACAATCACTGAATGCCGACTTGTTTGCGATGACGGGTAAAACTAGTGATGCTCATGGAACCAGATAATACACAGCCGTTTCCTACTTTTTTGCATGGTACAAAGTTGTAAGGCGCCTCACCTCGTGTTGACGATATAAAATATTCTCGTGGTGACAGTTGTAGCGTACTTTGGGTGGAAGTCAGGGTGGGCCTCGAGAAACTCCAGACCTGGGTGATAGAGGAGTAGTTCCCGGATGAACGGTTGCAGGTCGTCCTGCATTGCATTCAGCAGATGAAAACACGTTATTTGAAAACGAAGAAACCGGCAGCTCCTTGGGGAAGCGTGGCGCAGTTTACACTGGAGGGAATAAAGCACTAAAAAAACGAACACAAGAGTCACCGGTCGCAATATGTTGTGGACCCGTGAGCGGATGTAACGAATGCGCCTACCTCACTGATGGCGACCGCGGTAACGTCACCGTAGGCCACAACAGCTTACACGAACTAAGGATTAGACGAATGATGCTGAACTGCAGCATGATTTTAGCTATACCTTGGTCGTCCCGTGTCATTTGTGAATATCGGCGTCCAGCTGACACTCTACCGCTGGGAAGCATGTAGCGTTGCCCCTCTGCCACAACTGCAGGGGTTCCCCGCTAAAGGCCACCTGTCTAAAAAACCTCACCAAACACGCTGTCGCTTGGCACGCTCACCTTCTCGATGAAATGGTTTTCCGGTTTCTTGACCAGCCGGAAAAATCTGTCGATGTGATCGTACGTCTCGATCTCATCCCTCCAAAACTCTTCGAATAGAGCCAGGGGTATTCGTGCGTCCGGAGGGAGTTCGTCTGCTCCGTTGTCCTGCCCACTGTGTACACCCTCCGAATCGTCCCCTTCTGGCGCGGTCTTCTCCTGTTGGCGGGCGGCCGACGCCCGTGCTTGCTGGCTACGCGCAAAGATTCGCTTGAAGAGAACAGCATTGAAAAAGCTTGGGAACCCGCACAACGTCTTCGTAACCGGGACGAAGTCATCAACTCCAAGTCCTTCCGGATGTCTTTCGAACAGACGTTCCATTTCCTGGCGTCTCTCTTCAAGCGAGTCGCGCGGAATTGGGCGCCCCCTCCCGCGCCCGCCTTCCCCCTTGACCCAGAAGTGGGGGATATCTTCTCTGCTTACTTTCGCTCGTCCTTCGTGCGCAACCTTGCGCGAAGTTTCTGGAGGGCGAGAGCGGGAGCTTTCCTCGGACACGCCAGAGGATCGAGACGGCGACCTCTTTTCCGGAGAAAGGTATCGCTCGAACCTCTCTGACCGTGGTGACAGATGTGGAGTCCAATGGCTCTTTGACGTCGGCGAGCGATGAGACAGTCCTGTTGGGCCCGCACTGTGGCCAACGGGAGACTTTAACGGCGAGGGCGAGCGAGGTGACAGAGGCAGCGATGACGACGAAGACGGCGACGATGAGAGCGTCTGGAACAGGGATGATCCCGGCTTCTCCAGTGGTTGGTCAGCCGCCACGGCTTCGAGGTACCCTCGAAGTAGCTTCACGGTCTCCTTTTGGCTTGCCCAGCAAACCAAGAGCTCATCCATTTTCACCCTCGCGCTCGACACATGCTCGAGACCGAGTGCGGGAGATCCAAGGATCCCCATCGCACGCGACCTTTGCACCTGCCCCGTCGTGGAGGATTCGTGGAGAGAGGGAGAGATCCGCCATCAGGAATTAAGGACACTCTACGGCAGCAGCAACTATAAGACAACAATTCGCCTTCTTTTAGTCTGGCGGTAGTTCCGTACAGCACTACGTAGAGCGCGGGGAAGCGCCGACGGTCCCTCACAACTGTAAGGGCGACTAGACAAAACACTCGTACTGACTTTCTGAACAAAACGCAATGGCGGTTCAAGAGCAAATTACAGCAGCAGGCTCGTTCGTCATTTCGTCATTTCCTATGCAGATGAGCATGTACTTTTTCGATCGCTGTGCGCAACATCCCCATCTACTTGGGGGATTGTGACGCTGCCAGTTTTAGATGCTTTTCGTGACCAGCAGCCTTCTCGTAGCTTATTTCTCGAGCTGGTGTGGTGTCCCGTTCTCGCGCTTGTTTACCTCCGCAAGTCGCCGCGGCCCCCTTCTTTGGGTGTACGCTCTAGCAATCTATAGCACTACAAAACGCCACACACATACAGCTTTAGTCCTTGCATTCACCTCACAGATTTCCACCTTCGAATAGCTATAGAGGAGAGTAGAGATGAGGAGACAGACGCTGGACGAGAGAGGAGATGACTGGGAGGGGCGAGATGCCAAAGATGGGACAGAGGGTACACACACAGAGAGTTGAGCAGGAGTACGTAGAGAATGCAGCGTTCCTGTCAAGGGTGTTCTAGTCTTGTTCCGTTTGTCAAATTTGAAAAAGACAGGTTGTGGGAGTGTGTGGGGATTGTGCGAAAGTTGAACCAGGATGCCCGCGTCTGTTCCAGCGAGCTTCGAGCACGATGCCATCTTGATCCACTAGGAGGGTGAGGCAAAGTGCGAGGCATGCCTACATGCACAGTATTGCGTTTTCGGACTAAATAAAATGTTGTATGCATCTTTCATGCCAGCAGTCGATGTTTGTTTTTATACTCACCACCACAGCACTATACAGCACTGCTGGATATGTACTGAAGTTATTCGAGATTCGCCGTTTCTCGTGTGCGGCTGTTGTCCTGTTGAGAATGTTCCTGCACCAGCACAAGTCAGCTTATCAGGGGGGGCTTCTCTCTCTCTCTCTCTCTCTCTCTCTCTCTCTCTCTCTCTCTCTCTCTCTCGCTCTCGCTCTCTCTCTCTCTCGATCGTCTCCCTCTTAATCACTTCAGACAATGAGGCTCGCTCAATGAAGTGCCTGTAATCTGGTGGATGCCAGCTATGCCAGCTTTATGCCATCGTATCGCTTTCGTCGTATGGCGGTCTGTAGATATACCGCTGTATGCATAGATGAAACTACCGCCTACTGTAAAACAGCATCTCCGACTTCCAGAGATATGACAAGCAGGAGGCAAGATCCGTTTGATTATTCCGTATCGAAAAACCATCGCAAAATCAAACTTCCATTTGTTGGGCAAACGACACATCAGGGTACCCTGGTCGAAAAGCGACTCAGCTGGGTACATACAACCACCCCGGTGGTCTAGTGGGTAGCCTCGCAGCCTGCTAAGGGCCAGGTCATGGGTTCGAGTCCCGGCAGAGAGAGTTTTTTTCTCACTAAATAAATCCTGGTCTAGGATGAAAGCGACGCGCTGCAAAGCTCGGTTGTTAGTAAACCATAATCGACTTCGTAAGTCGCGAGGGAAGGGATTGCTGCACCCTTCTCGCGATAAAAATACCTCAGGCATGAACCGCAGGAGGGGGTCCAACCCCCCCCTCCTATGTGACCCCGGTTGGGTCGTCTAGCTAGTAGAAGTGGAGGATAGGGGCCAGAGGGGCAGACGACAGAGTCCAATGATGGGACAAAAACAAACAAACAAACAAACTACACCGGTCGCCCCGATGGTCTAGTGGGTAGCCTCGCAGCCTGCTACGGGTCAGGTCATGGGTTCGAGTCCCGGCAGAGTGAGATTTTTTCTCACCCAAATAAATCCTGGTCTAGGATGAAAGCGACGCGTTGCAAAGCTCGTTGTTAGTAAACCGTAATCGACTTCGTAGGTCGCGAGGGAAGGGATTGCTGTACCCTTCTCGCGATAAAAATACCTTAGGCAGGAACCGCAGGAGGGGGTCCAACCCCCCCCTCCTATGTTGGGTTATCTAGCTAGTAGAAGTGGAGGATAGGGGCGAGAGGGGCAGACGACAGATGGGAGAAAAAAAAAAAAACACTTCTACAAGAGCGTGAACCCAGATGATTGTCAAGGCCCACCTTCACCCCGCTGCGTCCTAACAAGGGCGGGGTATATATTCCCTGCCGTGACTACTTTCTCTAGAAATGTAACCAGGTTTCGGAAAATGTACCCTGACCTGACGGGAAATGAAACCCTTTATTTAATCAATCATTTCCTCCGCAGGAAATCCTTTCCCAACGATGTTCCCCTCCAACCATGGGATGCCGACAGCGACTCTTCCCGGCCACAAACAACAATGGCTACTGGGCAGAAATCAATCAGGACAGACTTTCCGCGCCCTTCGAAACAACACCAACTCTTCCCGCTCTAAATAAACAATGGCTGGCAAACGCCAGCACAACTCCGTTTGGAAAGCAACCGACACCTATACAGCATCTCGTATGCGAGACATGGGTCACGCTTAGGACGCGAGATTGATCCGGCATCGTTGAGGTGCGTGCATCTGCCGACGTATGGTGGTGTGGTGGCCGCGAGCTCGTGGCCGTAGAGAGGGCAGGAGGGACACATACACATCAAGTCTTGTACTCCAGAAGCAGGACACGGCTATGTTGTCTTGCACCATCCCTGTCGGTAGAGAAAGTGTTCGCGTTTTTTTTCATCCCGCTGAAGACTGACGTCTTGTTCGTTGGTCGGCTGATAGGCGGGATGGATACGAATGATTCAAGCGAGGCACGAACACCACACAACACGCACGCACGCATACACATGCCGTCTTCATCAATCAAACCCGGTAGCAACATTTTCAGTGCAAGATTCCTGTGACAAGACCCATCTTGAGCATAACCGACAGACGCTTCGATTTCTTCTTGACAAGGGAGACTTCTAATGCGCACGACTTCACGGAGGTTTCTCCCCGGGGTTTTTGTCGTTGATCCAGCAGAGACGTGCCTTATGCAAAAGTGTACCTCTGCAAGGTTTTCGGCGCTCCCCGCGTAGTTCGGTGAGAACCCGGCGTGCTCCGTCCCTGGTTTGTAGGGATGCGAGGTCAGCATGCACGACTATGAGTACCCCCCCCCCCCCCNCACGTTGAGCGGTCTAAGGCGAAGGTCGACGAAGAGCACCCAAAAGGCAGGTCCTTGGTTTAGATAAGTAAAAGAGGCAATGAATCATAGTTTTGGCCACTGCCGATGACACAAAGCAGAAGTACACACCGTCCTGTGCAAGATAGAGTAGCGCCTGTAGAAAAGAGGGGGTGTTCGGCGATTCGCGCGACCGCCCAGCTTGAGCGATCCCAAGACCAATAGCGCCCAATCACGCGCGAAGGCAGAGTGTGCTGACGACAACAAATAAAGAGCCATACAGGATGGGCCCGGAGTAACGTCAGAATCGGGTCGGGGCTCAATTCCTTTTTGGGGGTTGAAGGACCTGCCCAAGTCGTCCACTTTTTTAAAAGGCATATTTCTTTTTCCTTTGGACTGTCGCATCCTCCTGATTCTCTTATTTCATTTTTCTTAGATCTGGCTAAGAATACAACAGCACAACAATGCAGTAGTGGGTGAAGCAGCCCGCAATAATTGCTCTCCCCCCGACGAAAAAACACAATGTTCAGCTATGGGTGAGGACGGGGTTGGAGCACGGAACGAGCAGCAGTGGGACGTTTCTTATTGGACACGCTCCCCCAGCAACCCTTGTTTCTTACGTATTGGGGGTATCGCACGATCATGCTTCTTATCGGGACGTTTCTTATGTTGTAGCCGAGATTGAGCTGTGTTCCTTAGGCCCGTTCCTATCAGCGGGGAAATTTCCCCGATTGAAAACACGGAATGGTGAAAAGAAAACCGGCCCTTTCCTCGCTTGTTGTAATGGTCATGTCAGCGCAAGAATACGGTTCCTGCACTGAATACACACTTTGGTCGACATACAGCAGGTTGACTGGGTTTTGCTCACTATAGAGCAGCGGTAAAGCGCAAAGAGCAGCACCCGACAAAAAGGAGAGCACACGTAATAAGACCCCGTCCACCCGGTCTGCTGTTTTCAGCAACAGGTGCAGGGCAGAGTGTCGCAACCTGGGTGATGCTTTCAGTTTCTTCAGCTTGCCGGCTCACTTTTCACCGTTGCGACCCCCTTATTTGACCATCACCTCTCTAAAGGTAGACGAGCTCAACCATCATAGGGCGGTAGCGGCGCTGAGGGCCAGCATCATGTACAGGACCAATCCGAAAGAATTAACGTGTCGGGGGGCCTGTTGCTCTAGTGCTGCGTGGTCCCGTGGATTGTGTTGATGTCTGCGACCAAAAATAGGCCGTCTCACCGCATGTTTTCAAACAACAGGTTGCCCGAGGTGGCACACATCCTTCACACACCTTCTTAAGCAGCACCCGAACCCTCAATACCCACTAAGCAGCACGGCGCCGGGAGTGAGTATCACATAGACAGCCGAGCCGGAGGCTCAGCCATTTGGAGGCCTTGGCGCTGCTGCTGTGTTTGTTCTACTGCTGTTTCTGTGTTTGTCATGCGTGATTGAGAAAAACCCCGAACATCAACAGCGCAAGTTGAAGACGAGAGGGCCATGCAATGTGTCAGTTTGGACCAAGAACGGACTGAACCCGGCTTCTGTCGCTGGATTATGTCCGCAATAGACCTGGGCGTGAGTGTAGCAGACTTTGCTAGCGTTCTCAGTGATGTTACAGCGCCCGCGGTGCGCCTGCCCGATCCTTCTGTAAAAAAACCGGATCGGTGAAAGGAGTATGCAAGTTTTTATTTGCCCTTGCTCCTTGCTCCTTTCCCCGATCCGGTTCTTCATAGGTAAAAATGCCTCTCACGCAAGAAACGATTCGGGATTTTTTTCCGGGGAAACTTCTAGTCATTTTTTTAGACCCTTCTTTATGGAAACAGAATCTTGCAAATATATCTTGGCATTTTGACTCAAGATTTGCTTACAATATATCGCGGCCACGATTTTTGCAGTATCGCGATTTATGGGGGAAATATGTTGAATGTTGAAAAGGCGGCGTGTTGTTCCTCTCTTCTGCTTGAAGTTGATAAAGGCACAATGGCCACTTGGTACACAGAAAAGGCCCAGGTGCGGCGAAAAGTGAGCATGGTTGTAGAAGGGGCGTCCATCTCCCAGCTGTATTGCCTCAACACTCTGGGTAGATACTAAGCATGGTCGCCTACCTGGGGTGCAAAATAGAAGCCGTTGCTCACGAGCTCATGTCAAGCGGAGAAACAAAATTATTCCATTGCTGTCCAACTGACAAGAAAGTGCATCAACCCGAAGCCGATAGAACCCGCGCATGTACAGTAGGTGTCGCGATATAACGCCGGTTGAATAGCGCCAAAGTCCGGTATGGTGCCGGTAAACTTCCTTGACTTAGACAGAGGCCTGAATAGTGCCGAACCGACACTATTGAGGGCTGCCCCGCTATAGTGCCGGTTCAGGCACTATCAAACCCCTCAATAGTGCCGGTACAGACTCCCCACACACACAAGACACCAGGGACACACATGCCATACACACGCCTCACACCATCCGTTCTCTAGCTTCATCGAAGGACGAGTGAGGGTTGTTTTTCTTCTTCACTCCTTTGGATTGCGTCTGCCTTGCGCTCTTGGTGTAAGGAGCTCTGCATCCATGTTTACCTCCACATATGCGTCGGGTGCGCGCATGAGCGTTTTTCTTTCACTGGCGACGGGTGCCTTTGACGTTGCCTGCATAGTGCTACGACCTTGCCACAACGATACATCATGTTATAGCGAGGTGCCTTTTGAATTTGCAGCAGGTTCTAGGGTTGAAAGGCAGCAGCAACGTTTCACTAGCAAGTGCTTGCGCTGAGGTGGGAAGAGAACAACTGCTGTGCAACAAATCTATCTGGTCAACCAAGTTAATTTTAATGTGCCCAATGCCGTGTTTTCAACTGTCCAAGAGCCTCACGAAACTTAGTGAAGCCCGCCCACGTCGCTCAGCTCACGATCGATCCACGTACCGTTCGTTTGGTACTCTGTCAGTCCCGCAAAGCGCAAGCGCTGCACTCTGAAGTCGAACAGTCCTGAATAGTGCCAAGCCGGCACTATAGAGGGATTTTCAGACCTTGAACAGTGCCGGTTTGGCACTATTCAGGCACAATTCTGAATAGTCCCGGTGCCCGCAATTGTGCCGGTCAATCCGCCTGGACACATACCGGCACTATATCGGGACACCTACTGTATCTCACTATGTAGCAGGCGTACCGAGGTCAAATCTCCGGCGCTGTCATCTGCACTCACGGATCTGGCTCGTGTGTAAACGGATTGGGTGTGGGGTGGTTCGACGAAGAGATAGAAGCGTCGCGGCAGAGCTGTGTTGGCAAAACGTTCCTCCTCCTCCATTTTTCTACTTCAAAATAAGATATTCTTTAAACGGTCCCTCGACAGACTGGTGATGACGCACGTGGAATGAGCCAGGGCAAATACGCACTTTGTTCGCCCGCCTTGGTCGTTTTCGTTCGCTGTCGGTGCGTTAGAGACCCTTGAGTGTGCGCCACGTGCAGATTTCATGCCGTTATGGACGATGAGGTTGACTGACCTTCGGTGATCGCGCCGCACCCACGCAAGATTTGTTACGCCGCCTCAAGGTTTGTCGGAAAGCTCGTTTCGACAGATCTTGGATCTTGGGTCCAGATTTGTTCGAAAGGGCAGATTGCTGGCCTCGAGAAATCTTCGTCAAGATATGTCGGGAAGATTTCGCTCCCATAAATCGTGGAACTGGCCGATCTTGGCCAAGATCAAGATTTATCGACAAGATTTCGTTCCCATAAATCGGGGTTAGTTTTCGTAAAAAGTTTATCCTTACTGTTTTCGACGGATATTTTCTTAGTTGCGGGCCCGTACTGTAGGCACCCAGAGAAAAAAAGCACAAAATTTCAGACCCTTTTACGTGTACTCTCGCTGGAAGACATTTTGTTTGGCCCTTCGCGCAATCGCCGAAAGTGAGCGATTCAGGGGTCGAAAGTATGGTGGATACATGTGAGAGGACGCCGAAGGCCTTGGCTGTTTGGTTTTGCAGGTGTAAGTACGTATGTCATGTACACGTAAGATTTTGATGGTTCGTGCTTTCGTGTTTTTTTCTCTGGCGACAGGGGATCTGTTATCCCACTTCCTTTGAAGGGCACGGGAGGCTCGTTGGTACAATATGTATCGCGCATACCTGGAGCTCGCCAAGCATCTGTCCTTGGAACGTGCTCTCGACGCCTAAAGTCGCTGGGGACGGCTCCATAAACCACTTGCAACAGGACCCCCAGCACCAAAAAAAAATGCTCTGGGCGGAGGGGGGGGGTTCTGTGAGGGATATAAAAAAAATCAGAACTTTTTGCCCCGGCATGAGATTTTCATAAAACAAATTGCGTTGCGTAGATGACGAGCTGAAGTTTCTTTAGCGACTTTTGTTTCTTTTTTTTTTAAACGGAGGCACAAGTATCTTCGGTTTTTGTTGAATAGCCCAGGTTGTTCGAGAAAATAAAATTTAGTTGGAGGGAAAGGGTTGATTTTCGTTTTAAAATGACAATATCTTTGTGCCCCGTTGTCCAATAATTAAAATCAAAATCGCCCGAGAAACTTCCTTCAGCTCATCAGCTATCCAACGCAATTTGTTTTATCGAAATCCGATGCCTGAGCAAAAAGTTATGAATTTTAATATCCCTCACAGAACCCTGCCCTTCGCCCCGAGCAATTTTTGTGGTGCGGGGGGTCTGTTGCAAGTGGTCTTGTGACGTGTTGCGCGTATAGGGGGTTGGACCAAGACTGAAACCCATCAAAGACGAGAGAAAAGAAGCCCGCGTTACAAGTCTCCCATTCCCAACCAGAACTAGCTGTAGATGAAGTTGATCGCATGGCATATGCCCCTGTCATCCTTCCCACCTTGCTTTTTGTTAGCATGGGCCGTTCCGTCTGCTTGGTGCAAGCAGTCCCATGGGTGTTCGCAGTTTCCAGCTAACCGAAATTAAAGCCTCCTCTTGAGCTGTGAATCTCCGCGTTCACTGATTTCATCCCTGACTCATTTCGACCTAGATCGATGTGTCATCGCAACGTCCAATGATATCACTTCTCGTCTACCCTTTCGCACCGGACACAGATACATCGTCTACACAGATAAACTGATCGCATGCACCCACGCCGTGAACCAAATTCTTGCGATTTTTGTTACTGTAGTAAGCACTACATCTGGCGTCGCCTTTTGGAGGCTTGATACCCACGTCCCAAAGGGCCACCTTGTATCGTAGTAGCCATGCGCTTATTAAAACATAACGCAAGTTAACAATAGCTCCTTTGTGGTGCGGCCTTCCTCCTGTGTAGCCCCGGTCGACACGTCACGTACACCAAAAGATGTGTAACTTGGCGCCAGAATAGATGGGGGCGAATAGATTGGGACGAACACACACACACGCGTTCGGCCACGCCTCCTTTCACCGGCTGCAGCTTGTGGGATTTGTTTTTGTCCATCCTCAACATAAATCTTGGGAGCACACCTACTACTCCCCACAAGGAACGGCATTTAGTGTCATAGCATCTTGCGTGAATGCACATTGGTCAAGACGGCCTACTTGCATCAACAACAGCAGCTAAGGCCGTTGAGCTGGGGGTGCGTCCTTCGAGTTGCATCAACTCGCTCAAGATTTGTAAATTAAGTATTTCCATGTAAGGCGCTGATCTCGTTGGTTCCGCCGCTTTCTGCCGCTGCTACTCTACGGCTGTGAAGCGTTCAGGCCGACTGTGATCGATATGTCCATGCCGAATTCTGCGTCCCCGAGCGACGTTACGTATGTGAAGTATGAATAATACTGCCAAGCGCTGAGCCACTTCGTTCTTTGTTCCGCAACAAGCGCCAAAGTGTGCGACCTTTGTGGCAATGAATGAATCAGGGGGTTGCTTCCATCTCTCGCTACATTTGCAGCATGTCTCCAGGTGACCGAACGTAAACGTAAACTGTTCTTGGACGAAGTGCGGGTCCATATCTGAGACGTCCTCTGTTTTTTTACTCGTACCCGGTCTCTGTAGGGAATGCGCCGATGATGAAGATGATGATGGCCCCATGCGCGTGGCGAGATGACGATATGGGTGGGACTGGAATTTGAAGCAACGGGTGCTCATGTTTGCGCACGCTGCAGCACAAGTGTTCCTCAGCATGAAGCTAGGTAGGTGGTGCACCAAAACGTCCCGCCCTCGCAACCTCGTCAATGCGTTTGTGTGCACTCCTTCTCGGTATGTTTTTTGCGCGCCATGTATGCCGATGTTAGACTCGTCGGTAGACCATCATCGCTCTTTGCGCCCTTTCGTGTTGCCAGGCGCACTTTGCCGTTGCATAAGCTAGATAGTCCATCCCCACACCGGATCGTGCTACACGCATCGCCTATGCAGTGGCAGGGGTTTGTTGTGGCGCCACCAGCTTGCATGTAGTCGGTCACAACATCTTGCCTTATTCCTTCGAATTTCATGTTTGCACAACGGTATGTGTATTCGGCGCGCGTTTGCAAGGAATTCAAATCACCATCGAAACTGCTGTGTGTCGTAGGTTTGGCATTTTTCTGAAATGGTGTAGAGAGATGGTCGATGTTTTGGGCATGTTGCCGGCTGGAGCTTCTGAGTGGGGAAGCTGCATTCAACGAGGAGCGCTACCTCGTTTGCTCCCTTCAACTTGCGATTGCTCAAGGACGGCACACTCTCTCCACATCCACACCGCGGACAGCGTGCTACTCGCATTCCGATAACCTTCGCGTCTGTCCGACTTTCAACCCTTCACGTATGGGCCACGCCACGGCAGAATATCCCTCGCTTTGTAGGTGCGCTGCCCTATTTGTCTGTCGGAGGGCTAGAACTCAGGCCGGGTTAGAGTTTCACGCGAAGAAACAAAACTTTGTGGCATCCCCCTTGCCCCGCTGTTCGACAACAACAGCGTCTTCCGCAGCTCGCCTCGAGCTCGATCCGTGTGAATTTCAGATAGTTTCATTCATAGGCAAAAATACGATAATGTAACAATGAGATCTGGCTGAGAGTGTAGGGGTGAGGGTAAGCTTTCTGTGGTGAAACTGTGACCGCCCTAACAAATGTTCGAGTACACTGTGTTTACTCTAGCGAATGTTTGTGTGTGTGATTGCCCGCACCAGCAAGCGTTTTACATACGACGGCCGTATCTAGCTCAACAATGATCTTTGCGGAATGTCCCGTAGTTGGGCAGCTCAAGATGGCTACAGTAGTTCATTTCGAACTGAAATAACATGATACTGCAGTGGTCCTCAAGAACTGCTTGACCCGTTCTCCGAGTTTGTTTGACCCGTTCGCCCCCTGGTACTTTGCCGTAGCTTCGACTCTCTTGTTCTCTTATGCAAGCTTTGTGTAGATCTGTCTGTCGGTCGCGGTAGCACTTCTCCCACAGTAGCAGCAGAGGTTGGGCGGGCTGCCTCGTCTCCCGCAGCTTGGGGGTGGATGGTGAACCCAGCGGCAGACAGCTCGGGGCCACGGGGCGGTTCCAGCACAAGGTGAGACAGGTCAAGGGAGAGAGATGGCAAGCAGCCTCGACAAGTATCAGGGACGTCAGGAGACAGACGCGTTTTCCTCCACGCCTCTCGTTGTGGTTGTAGTTTTTGTCACCAAACTAGCCGTTCATTGTATTCCATACTCTTCATGCAGTATAGCAGCGAGGTTTCCGTGGCACAGGTGGGCTAACCGCAAAACGAAGTACAGATGTTGGCCAGGGCATCAAATTGGGAACCTCGAATACTTCGTAGCGACTAGGTTGGGAGTGCGAAGGATGAAACGTGTGTTTCGCATTTCGTGCCTAGTTCTAAAGCTGTAAGCTTCAGTCCGACCTAAATTCATTTTTGTCGCAGACCGACCCTCTTACTCCGATTCCCCCGCCCTTGCCCGACCGTGTCTCAAGAGCCGATCTCGACCTATGGCGCACACCTCACGACATCTCGAGTATGCTTCGATAGGTCATCCCAAATCATGGCCAGTCGCCAAGTTTGATCGACTTCCGCGTGCGGTAGCGTAAGTCACAAGTGTGAGGCCATGTGCGACCATGCGCGCTGTTTCTCTCTCGTCTTCACTGGTTCGCCGTCTTGCTCTCCTCATCGCTCTGTTTGTAAGATTCGAATCTCATGGTCAGCTTGTGTGACGAAAATCAACAGACCGATGTCGACCTACAGTACGGCGCACGTTTCGCGATATGTTGAATATGCCTCCCCTCGCAAAGTTTCGTCGACTTCCGCGCGCAGTAGCATACGCCACAAAATTGCGGCCATTGTGCGACCTGTAGACATGCCTGAAACCATGCGTGCTGTTTTGACCGGCTCGCCGTCTTCCTGCTTCCTCACTATTCATCGCTCTTCTTGTCT